TAAATATTTATTTATTTATTATGCATACAATATTCTCTCTGTGTGCCTGTCTGCAGGCCAGAAGAGGGCACCAGACCTCTTTACAGATGGTTGTGAGCCACCATGTGGTTGCTGGGAATTGAACTCAGAACCTTTGGAAGAACAGGCAATGCTCTTAACCACTGAGCCATCTCTCCAGCCCCCTGGGTTTCGTTTTTTTAAAAAAATGTTAATGGGTGTTTTGTTTGGTTTGGTTTGGTTTTTCGAGACAGGGTTTCTCTGTGATTTTGGAGCCTGTCCTGGAACTACCTCTTGTAGACCAGGCTGGTCTTGAACTCACAGAGATCCGCCTGCCTCTGCCTCCCGAGTGCTGGGATTAAAGGCATGCACCACCACCGCCCGGCTTGGGTGTTTTGTTTATTTGTGCACCACATGTGCACAAAACAGGGAACCAGGTCTCCTGAAACTGAAATTACAGACAGTTGTGAGTTGCTTTATGGGTACTGGGAATTGAACCTGGGTCCTGTGGAAGAGCAGGCAGTAGGTGCTCTTAACTGCTGAGTCATCTCTTCAGCCCCAGTTTTTATTTCTCTTTTCTAACTAGGTTCTTAAAGTTTAGGGTATTGCCGTATTAATATAAGTAATGTCCCATGCCAAAGTAGTGTCCCGTGACAGAGGTAGAGGGTATATCCCAGCATGTTAAATCTAACCACTTGCCACCAAAGAAAGCTTTTCATTTGTTTGTCTTTTGTTTTGAGACGGGGTTTCTTTGTATAGCTTTGAGTGGCTAATTGTTTCAGCAGTCATTAGTTGCCTGTAGTTTTTTGTCAAGGGGTGGGATGCTGAAAATTTTTACTGCTTTTGGTTAACATATCTATTAATACACCATTTTTCTGGTCTTGTTTATGCAGCCATTTCTGTTTCATAGCAGACTTCCAGGTATTCTGGCTCTTATAGTCTTTCTGCCCCTTCTTCTGTGATATTCTTTGAGCCATTGATACGGGAGCTGTAATATAGATATATCTTTTTTTGAAGTAATTAATTTTTTGTGTGTGTGTTCATTGGTGTTTTGGCTGCTTGTATGTCTGTGTGAGTATGTCAGAAACCTTACAACTGTGGTTACAGGCAGGTGTGAGTTGCCATGTGGATACTGGGAATTGAACCTAGGTTCTCTGGAAGAGCAGTCAGTGCTCATAGCCTCTGAGCCAACTCTCCAGCCCTAGATAAACTTTTCTTTTCTTTCTTTTTTTGTTTTTGTTTTTGTTTAGTTTTGTTCTGTTTTTCAAGACATGGTTTCCCAGTGTAGCTCTGGCTATTCTGGAACTCACTCTGTAGACCAGGCTGACCTGGAACTCATAGAGATCCACGTGCCTCTGCCTCCCAAGTGCTGAGATTAAAGTCAAACCATCATCACCCAGCTAGATACATCTTTTGAGATTAGGCTCCCAATGATCTCAGCAACACATCCAACTGTGGTTTTCTATGATAATCTCCATTTGCTTTATAGAGAGGCTTCTTGAATGAGGGGTGGTAGCTAGATTTATCTGTGGGTATAAGGGTGAGATTTAGAATAAGGTAACAGATTATGTTTATTTTAGTCACTGTTATGTTGTGAAGTGAAACTTAAGTCCTTTGTACGTCCAGACCCAGATCAGGAGCCAATGTTTTTCAGCAAAAGCAGCTTATTAAAACTTGTTATAACTGAAATTAATGCTATAAATAACTTCCTTTCTGATCAGTAGGCTGTTTAGCAGTACGAGAGAGATGGCTTAATTGCTAAGAGCTTACTGTACAAGCATGAGGACCCAAGTCTAGATCACTAACACTCATATAAAATATTGATACACACCTGTAGTTTTCGTTCTGGGTCAGTGGAGATATGAGCAACTTAGGGGCTTGATGGCCAGTCAGTAAGCTCCAGGTTCAGTACACACATCTATATGTATACACAGAGAGACAGAGACAGAGAGGCAGAGATCATCCTCAGTTCTGGGAAGTGTCCTATATTGTAACAGTAGAAGTGTTACTAGCAATGGTAGTTAACATTAGTGACTACTTTAAGCCTTATGCATGTAATAAATCACTTCATCTTCACAACAACCTGGTGATGTACTTACTATTTTTATGTGATTGGATTGAAAGGCATAGTTATGTAATGTATCCAAACTTGCACAGCTAGTAGATAGAGGTGCCAGGAGCAAACATGTAGAGACTGAGGTATCACATGGGAGAAGGACAGGGACTGAATTGTAAAACCAAAAAGTCAGCCTTGTCGAAAATAGGGGGAAATGGGGATAGAGCAATTTGAATAAGAGGGAATCAAAGGAGTGGAAAGATTCTGATTGTCCTTTAGCACAATAGGGTAATTATTAGTTGAAACACCCTGATATGTTTCAAATTGACTAGAAGAGTATGAAATTCTCAGGGTACATCAATAATGATTAGATAGAAATGATAGAGATAGAAATTCTTATTACTCTGATTGATGAATACACATTGCTGTATAGGCATTTAATTACTATAATGTACTCCATAAAGATGAACAGAGTTTTGGCTAGACATGATGGTGCATATCTTAAATCCCAGCACTCAGGAGACAAAATCAGGTGGATTTCTGTTTGAGGCCAGTTTGGTTTATATAGTGACTTTTATCTAGGCTAGCCAGGACTACATCCTGAAACTCTTACTCAAAAATTAGCAAAAAAGAATAAAAGATAATACAAAGTTTAAGGATAATATTAGAGAAGGGCAAAAAGAGAATGTAGGAAGGGGCATGCCTATTCTCTAGACCAGTGGTTTTCAATTTAGGCGTCCACCTAAGGCCATTGGAAATAGCAGATAGTTTATATTATGATTCATAATAGTAGCAAAATTACACTTATGAAGTAGCAATGAAAATATTTTTATGATTGGGGTCACTACAGCATGAGAAACTGTATTAAAGGGTTACTGCATTACAAAGCTTGAGTACCACTGCTCTAGGTGGACATTAATCCTTTCAGGAAGGCTCTGTACTTGTGACCTAAACATTTCTTGAAGATCCTAGATCCCCATATCTCTGAAATGCCAGCTAAATCTCAACCTATAGCATTTGGTGAAAGATTTTTGTGAACTTCCTTTTTTCCCCTTTTAAAAAATGTATTTGTATGTGTGTGGTATGTGTACATGTATGTATGTGCTTGAGTATCAGTACACATGTGTGCATGTGCTTCTTGAGGCCTGAGGTTGATATTAGAATATTCCTTGATTGTTCGTCTTTCTTTCTTTCTTTTTTTTTTTTTTTTTTGGTTTTCTGAGACAGGTTTTCTCTGTGGCTTTGGAGCCTGTCCTGGAACTAGCTCTGTAGACCAGGCTGGTCTCGAACTCACAGAGATCCGCCTGCCTCTGCGCCCCCCCCCCCCCCCCGAGTGCTGGGATTAAAGGCGTGCGCCACCATCGCCCAGCTGATTGTTCTTCTTTTTAAAAACATTTTTAAAATTTATTTTTGAGATTTAATTTTTGTTTTATATGAATGGTTGTTTTGCCTGCATGTATGTCTGTATACCATGTGTATGCAGTGCCCATGGAGGGTAGAAAAGGGTGTCAGATCCCTTAGAACTGGAGTTACAGATGGTTGTGAGTTGCCATGTGGGTTCTGGGACCCAAAACTGGGTCCTCTGGAAGAACTAACTGCTGAATCATTTCTACAGCCCCTTATTTTATTTTTGATATATATATGAGTGTTTTGCCAGCATTATATTTGTACACAACTTGTATGCAGTGCCTTAATGAAGTTAGAAGAAGGTGTCAGACTCAGATGGCTGTTCTGACCCTGGATTTCCACATGACCCTCAGTAGCAACATGGGCCACAGACTTCAACACAGATTCTGGCTGTGATAAGACCCAGACATGGTCCTTGGCATTACCCCCTTGGTTGGCAGTAGCTGGTTCTGGATGTCACTGTGGCCCCAGGTGGTGGCACTGGCCACCCAGACCAGCATAGCCCAGAAGCAGCATGGCCTTTTTACACAATTTGGCACCAGGTGGCAGCCCAGACCTAATGAATCCACATAGCTCCCTTGGCAATAAAAGCCATGGACATCAAGACAGACCCTGACTGCGTAGAGTCACAGACCCAGATATGGTCCCCAGCCCTGACCAGGAAGTCACCATGACCCTGAATAGTAGTATGTGTCTCTTAGGTCTGTATGGCCCTTAATGCAGCATGGTCTCTGG